TTTGCATCTACCTTGGAGGTAACCTTATCTCTTGGTCATCTAAGAAGCAACCAGTAGTTAGCCGTTCCAGCACTGAGGCAGAGTACATATGCTTGGCTTCTACCATTACTGAGCTCATGTGGCTTCGTTCCTTACTTTCTGAGCTTTGGGTTCCATTACTTAAGGTTCCTACCATCTATTGTGATAATCTGAGTGCTGTTCTCCTCACAGAAAATCCTTTGTTTCACTCTAGAACCAAGCATTTTGAACTGGATCTCCATTTTGTTCGTGAGAAAGTGCTCAGTAAAATCGTATCTGTTTCTCACACTGCCTTCTCAGAATTCAGAACCAAGCTTCGTGTCTCTGACTCATCGACCACTGTGCTTGAGGGGGGATGAAAGAGTATAGAATATAACAGTTAGTTTATAACTGTTTTCTGTTTATAGCTTCTTATATTACAGTTGTAACTAACTCACTAACTCTAGTGAGTTACACTAACTCTAGTGAACTAACTCTAGTGAGTCATTGTATATAATGTATTACTGCCACTCATAGTGAATACAATGTTATCATATTATCTGATATCAAGATCAGATTTCTTTTCTTTCCTTTCTTCCTTCTTCTCTTTTCATTTCTTAGATTCAGTTCTGGTACCTTTCAAAAAGGAAGCTAGTCGTGGAGGAAGATCCAAAGATTGTGCTCTCTCTACTCCTCTATCCTTTCTTCCTCCTCCCGCTAAGGAAGCTTGTCGTGGAGGAAGATCCAAAGACTGTGCTCTCTCTACTCCTCTATCTTTTCTCCCTCATCCCGCTGCATTACTATTTAATGCTTATTTCTTTTATCTGATTAAAATCTAGAATTCTAAATAATAAAAATTTGCATAAAATAGCTCATCTTTATTCTTTCTCTTTAAAAGTGTTTTTTCATGTTCTTATCAAGGTGCAATTCCAATAGCTTACAAAAGTGTCCAAGAAACATTGGGCTTCTTATTGGTATCACATTTAGTTGTAATCAATGGCGGAGCCATAAATAATTTTTTTTCCCGAAGAAGACAGAATCATAATGTAAATTTTTCTTTTAAAGTTACAACTTTTCATATGACAAAAAAAAAATAGAAATGATGCTTACAACTAATTTTTTATATAGATTTTGAAAGAGGTCAAGCATCGGAGATATGAAACAAAATAGAAATAATGCTTACTTCTAAAAATTTATACATATATTTGAAGGGTCTCGCTCCAATGTTGATTGTAATGACCTCTCCTTCTGGGATTGAGACTTGAATAGGGGTGTTAACGGGTCGAGTTGAGTCGAGCTTTGGTCTTAAAAGGCTAATCCTGTATTTAAATGTGTCAGCCTGATCAAGCCTATTACTTGTTATAAATATAATTATCAGCCTGTGGCCTGACTTATTTACAAAAAAATGAAAGCTTTATTTAGCCTGTTTAAAAAAATAAGACAATAAAAATTTATTCAAACAGAATATACAATCAACAACATTATTAATTTCATAAATATTTATAAATTCAATGTATATCCAAACAGCATAGTATAGAACAAAATCACTCAAAAAGTCTGTTTAATCAATAAAATGGGATGAAATGGATTGAGGAGAGAGAGAAGGTATTACAATTAGTATAAAAAATATAAAAAATAAAAATAAAAATTAACATACTAGGTCAGCCTGAGAGGCTCTAAGACCAAGCTTTTGAATTGAAGCCTGAAGCCTTTTTATTAAACGAGCTGTTATATAAGTTCAAGTCTGGTTCCAACAATCAATTATAGACATATAAGCTCATGCCTTCACGAGCCGAGTCAAAGGCCCCTAGTTTATTTATCACTCCTAGTTAAGAGTATCATATTCTTAGATGCATTTTATCTTGTTGCTTCTGGCTTTTGGATGAGATAATTTGACAAATATCATTTGGACACACTATAATTTTTGCAAATTCTATCACGGAGGAGGAAGAAGATATACGGAAAGCAACCCCAAAGTAATTTTTTCAAGGTAGCAAAATGGACAAACTAGCTATAGTTTTTTAATGGTGTTAAAATTGGACTTGAGTGAAAAGACTCACATGCAAAATAAGTGATAAAAAAATAAAGCACAAGGAAGTAAGTGATTGCAAAGCAAATCACAGGACAATTTTTAAACTTTTAGTAAAACAGAATTTTTAATTAGACTTTAATTTATTTTGTTTAAATACATTTTTATGATGATTGGCTCTTATTCCCCTTAAATAATATTTTTAACTTTCAAAATATTTGTTAATTAAATTCTTAGCTTTATCGTAATTTTAAATAAATAAAATAGGGGAAATAAAATTTTGTATACATATAAGATAATAAGAAATTTAAGTGATATCATTAATTAAATTTAGAAAATAATAATTAATTTAAATTAAAGTTTATTATGTATATGAATGAACAAATTTTTGTAAGAAATAACTTTTGTAATTTGACGTAAATATATTTCTAGTATATTATTTTTTTATTTTTCTTGAATACTTTTTTTAATTTATAACAATTTAATTAATAACAATTTAATTAAATAATTATTTTTGAAGATAATGTGTTAAATAATTAATAGATAAATAATTTTTATTATAATATTTAATATTTAATTATATTATATTTTTCGTTTATGATATCATAATGATATAAATTAAAAATTAAAATTTTTGTATATAATATAATATATGATTGCAAGTGATATATTTTATTATCACAAAAAATATATGTAATACTTTTTTAAATATATATATGTATAGAGAAAAATATTTCTCAAGCAGCTTGAGATAAGTTTATCTCCAGCTACCCCAAAACTACGTCGTATTATTTATTTATTTTCTTATATTATTTTATTCACCTTTGAATGGTTATGATTCTCTTTTTCTCTCTCTCCCTTTATCACCGTTGATTCATCTTTGTACGGTTATGATTTAGTAGCCGGAGATAAGATTATCTCAAGTAGCTTGAGAAATATTTTTCCCTATATATATATATATATATATATATATATATATATATATATATATATAAGGTAGGATCCTTTGACACCGGTGTCAAAATTGAAATTTGACACCTCATCTGATAGCCGTTAGATCAAAAAAGATCAACGACTCTAATTTGTAAGCATGTGACACCATTGATCTTTTTTGATCTAATGGCTCTCGGATGAGGTGTCAAACTTTAAGTTTGACACCTCATCTGAGAGCCATTAGATCAAAAAAGATCAATGGTGTCACATGCTTACAAATCAGAGTCATTGATCTTTTTTGATCTAATGGCTCTCAGATATGGTGCCAAACTTTAAATTTGACACCTCATCTGAGAGCTACTAGATCAAAAAAGATCAATGGTGTCACATGATTACAAATCAGATGAGGTATCAAATTTGAAATTTGACACCGGTTTAAAAAGATCTTACTTCATATATATATATATATATATATATATATATATATATATACTCACCAATAAATTGATGCATTTAATTACTGAGGCTGTTACTATAAACAGTTCTTTCCAACAATCACCAGTTCTATGCATAAAGGGGTTGATACTGTTCATATTCAAATATGGATTCAAATATTCTGCTCATATTCAGTTCTGTATTTTACTAAATATCATCGATAAAAAAGCTTAACATAAAGGGGTTTATGGTGATTCTATGTATAAAGGACATAAAGGGGTTTATGGTGATTCTATGCATAAAGGACATAAAGGGGTTTATGGTGATTCTATGCATAAGGGGGTTGATACTGTTCATATTCAAATATGCATTCAAATATTCTGTTCAGATATCATGCTTCCACGCAGAATGCCATGAGTTAGAAGATAATGTCAAATGTCATTCCAATAAATTTTTTTTCTATTTCTTTTTAATATATATATATATATATATATATATATATATATATAGAAGTCTTACACTGATGTAACAGTTAGAAGTCTTACACTCAATCTTGACCATTGATCCACTTGTATCCAATGGCTCACATTACTAAAAAAAATTACAGCACTTAGATATAAGTGGAATCAACGGGCAAGATTAAGAGTGTAACTTACACTGGTGTAAAATGATCCTGACCTTATATATATATATATATATATATATGAGGTAGGATCCTTTGACACTAGTGTCAAATTTAAAATTTGACACCACATCTAAGAGTCATTGGATCAAAAAAGATCAACGGCTCTGATTTGTAAGCATTTGACACTATTGATCTTTTTGGATCCAATAGCTCTTAGATGAGGTGTCAAATTTCAAATTTGACACTGGTGTCAAAAGACCCTACTTCTATATATATATATATATATATATATATATATATATATTGGGTGAGATCATTTTACACTAGTGTAAATTATACTCTTAATCTATGAAGCATCGACACTTCAAAAATCTTGACGTGCCGTGTCCGACACTACCCGACATTCCAATACTGGTTGCAAAGATTAAAAAAAGGTTCAAATGTTACATTGCGTTATATTTTGAGTTCCAACTATTAGATTCATTAAATTACGATTATGATTTTATTGAGTTTAATATAAACATTTGGGATATCTTAAGATTCTTTGCAAAATTGATGGGTATTATAAGTTTAGCTTTATTTTTTTGTTAAATTATTAAATACTAAATATAATATACACTACATAAATTAAAATATTATATAATATCAAAACGTGTCATAACGTGTCAAATTTTAATATTTTATAGAATTAACGTGTCGGAATATCGTGTCGTATCCCGTATTCTGTGTCGGTGCAATATAGCTCTTAATTTTAACCGTTGATCTTGTTTATATCGAACGGCTCTAATTATTAAATATGTGAAACGTTAAATCCAAACAAATTAAATTTTTTATTCTTACACTAGTATAAAAATAAATAACCCAGCTACCATATATATTCTTCTCTCATATGCTCTTTTTCTCTTAATTATATGCTTACAATATTTATTTTCACTCTGCCCTCTTATCTCTCTAGTGTCCGAAGCCCTGCAAGCAAGAACCATGGATGCAAAAGACTTGGAGAAGACTACAAGTTCTCAAGTAAAAAATAATTCTAAGGTAACTGAAAAGAAAAACCCATCATTTTCTATTATTTTAAATGAAATTTGTGCTGGATTTCTTATTATTTGTATCAATATTATAAATTCATGCATAGCATATACCTCTTGACCAGCCATGCTCATCACTGGCACTGATCTGCATAGAACAGATCTAGCTCATGATCACTTTGTAATTTTTTAAATAAATTGCTCACAGTCTCTATTATTTACATGTCTCTTTCTCTCTCTTACTGAAGAAACTGCACTCCAAAAATCCCATTTCGTATAGACTTGATATAACTATATAAGAATCTCTTTTTAATTCCACCTATTAAAAAGACTTTTTTGCCATCTTTTGTTTCTACTTAGTATTTTTTTTCTCCCAATTCTTTATTTTTTTTAAAAGTATTTTTGCTATATTTTGGATGTAGAGTTGAACTTGAGGACAAAAGTAATTCAACTCTTCATTTAAAAGTATTTTATAATGTTGTATTTTTTTAGTAATCGAAAAATTTAAGTGAGGTTAGATACTAATATCCGATCAAGTTAGGGTAGATCCTAATTTTTTTGAGATTTTTTGAAAGGAATTATGGAATGCACCACCACTAACAAGATCCATACACCAGATAGATTTTTATTCACGCCCTTGTGGATTATGTTATTTTTTTAACGCCTTTCTCTCATTCCTCTTCATTTTCTATCGAATTCTCGAAATTGAAAACATTTAATATAATAACGCTCCATATTCATTGTCCTTGTTGACCGAATAGCAAAACCAATATTATTAAACCTATCCCGGTCATCAACTCGGTCAGAGTTTCCAGTTTATTGTATCACTAGTTCAACCAATAAGTTATTGGTTAACCTAAATAAATATATACAAATTTATATTTTATACTTAAAATTTCACAAAAAAATTTAAATTCTTATATATATATATATATGTTTGTTGTAATTTAGGAATTTGAGTTGTTGGTATTAGTGTAAAAACACAACATTTAACAGTATTTTTTAAAAAATGAAAATTACGTGACCGACAGTAAAAAAAAAAATCAGCCAGGTCACCTTTTTTTTTTATTTATTTAAATCCTGCCAAATCAAACTGATTCTCACCATGTTGGTTGCATGGCCGATTTGTTGACTAACTTAGACCGATTATATTAATGATTTGTTTTTTTTTATTTTTTTGATAACAATAATGATTTATTTAATAACACTGAGCAAAACCATATTTTATTATAAGGACAATAAGATATTCTCTCTCTATGTATTAATTATAAATTAAATAATTCTTCCAATTATGTATAATTTCAAATCCATAATAAATTATACTATTTAATAAATTTAATTTTGATGCATTGTCCTTGTAAAACAATTTAATTTCATTTAATAATGTTTTAACAAACTCATTAAATGATGTGACAAGACATAACAGGGTAAAAAGAATTTTATATTAACCAAAAAAAAAATACATATTGAATGGCAACCAATGTTATTTAAATTCTTTTGTATAATTTGATTATGAAACGGTTTTTTCATTATCTTTATTCTCTATCCTTCCTCTTAATTTAAAGTTGAAAATTAAGTCCATGGGGAAAAAATATTCAATCTGAAGCCTAATATAACTGACCTATGTAGTTAATATTTTCTCACTTCTTACAAGGAAAACTTTCTTCACTAATAATAATAATTTATTTAACCAATTATATAACACTTCAGTTTTTTATTCCTACCAAGATTTTATGCATAATTTTATAGTTATATGTGTGTGTGTAAGCCTGTGCTTGTTTGTATTTTTTTTTTTTAATTGATTTATAATGAATAGGTGTTTGAAATTGATGGGTATGATGAGGAAAGACTCATCACTTCTTGCACAAGAGATGGGTCAGTTGATTGTTATGGAAAACCAGCTATCAAAGATAGAACTGGTGGATGGAGAAGTGCCATATTGTTATTAGGTATTTATTCATGCACCTCTTAATATTGTTGTAGTTGTTTGATTGGAATATAATATATAAGATTTTTTATTTTTTTGGATATGTGTTTATTTCAATTATTTTATCAGTTTTTTTTGTATTATATCAATGTGTTTATTAATTATAGAATTGTAAAATTGAGACAGTGAATCAAGGACTAGTTGCATTGGCTTTTACTGGAGTTGAAGTAAATTTGGTTCTCTTCGCAAAGTTAATTTTGAGACAGACTAATGCTGAGGCAGCAAACACATTTACCATATGGATGGGCACAACCTATTTCTTCTCTCTGATTGGGGCTTTTCTTAGTGATTCATATTTGGGAAGATACCTCACTTGCATAATATTTCAAGTGGTATTCATCATTGTAAGTAATCAACATGCTAATCTGAACTGAATATTCGCATGCAATTATATCAATATGTTTTTTTTATTATTATTATTAACAGAAGCATAAGGGAGGAGTGTATGATTTCCAATGTTATGACATATTACAAGTTTAGAAGACGGTTTATAATAACATTGATAGAGTACAAGATCGAGTACTAACTGTGTTAAAACTTGGTGAAGAGAGTTTTGCCGCACATGTGGTCTTACTCGACTTAGTTAAACTAGTCAAGTAATCGATGGATAATGTTATCCTCTATTATATTTAATGAAAGTTTACTAGTAAACATTATTTAATGCTACTTGTTGAGTAAATCATTACTTATACTATAAAAATGTTTATCAATGCTTGAATAGGATGCTATTAAGAAAGTGTTCTCTATTGCATTCAAAATCAATAACTTAGATAGGCTATGCTATATGAATAAGGTTTGAAACAATAGATATGTGTTTCTAGAACATACCAACTACAATAATTTTACAAAATTTGAAGTTCTATTTTCCTTCTCTTATGCAGGGGTTGGTGTTATTATCCTTGTCAAGCCATTTCTCTTTACTTAGAACTCACGATTGTGGCAAAATAGGATTGCTATGTGAACCCCAAATGCCAATTCAAATGGCAATAATTTACATATCAATATATCTAATTGCTATAGGAAATGGAGCTGCTGACCCTGCTTTAGCAACATTTGGTGCAGATCAATTTGATGAGGAAGAACCTGAAGAACAACCTTCTAAAGCTTCATTTTACAGCAACTTTTATGTGGCATTGAACTTGGGATCTTTAGTGGCTGAGACAGTACTGGCTTACATAGAAACTGCAGGAAATTGGGAACTGGGGTTTTGGATATGTGCTGGCAGTGCTAGTGTTTCCTTTCTTCTTTTGTTGAGTGGAACACACAGATATAGGCACTTTAAGCCTTTTGGAAATCCTATTTCAAGGTTTGCACAAGTATTAGTGTCCTCTTTGAGGAAAATGAAACTTCAAATACCCACAAATGGAGAAGGCCTCTATGATTTTCAAGAAGGGGGTGATAACAGTGTTAGGAGAATACACCACACAAATGGCCTCGGGTAAGTCTCTTAAGAGCATATGGAAGTGTTTTGGCATTGTTGTACATTATTCATGCAATATTTGAGCATTAAGTAGACTAGATTTTACTTGTTAGATGTATTGGTTCAATAATTAATTCAGTATTTTCAGCAATGGTATTCCTATATAAATCAAACCATGAAGCAACATTTTGTTATTTGTAAATGTGAAAAACCAGGTATAAAGTTGCTGTAATATAGAGAAGTGGAAGATAAAAAAACCTTTGCGAATTCTTGATAGCCTTATAAAGTATTGCAAGTTTGTCAAGTGTCTTATTTTTTTTAATCAAAGGAACCAAAATGAAGAAGGGACCTCAATATAAAGTTTTCAATATTGTCTCCATAACTCCTACGTTCATTTTGTTTTGGTATCAAACAGGTTTCTGGATCGAGCTGCTATTGTTTCTATTGAGGAAAAGAACACATTGTTAGGCAAAGGCCAAAAACCAAACCCGTGGCATCTTTGCACTGTGACACAAGTTGAAGAAGTGAAATGTGTTTTGAGATTGATGCCAGTATGGTTTTGCACCATCTTCTCCTCAGTTATCTTCATACAGATGCTTTCTCTATTCGTTGAGCAGGGTGCTACAATGGACAGAACTTTTTTCAAGTTTCAAATCCCTCCTGCCAGCATGACCGCATTTGATATCATAAGCACATCTGCATTTATTCTCTTATTTGATATTCTCATTGTTCCATTATATGTGAAAGTGATGAAAAAAAATCCAAAACCTCCTACTGAGCTAAGAAGAATTGGAATTGGGCTAGCCATTGCAATAATAGCCTTGACAGTTGCTGGCTTTGTGGAGAGAAAAAGACTTAAACTTGCTAGCCACAATGGTGAAGAGACAAGCTCTTTGAGTATCTTTTGGCAGATACCACAGTATGTGCTTGTAGGAGTAGCAGAAGCTTTTGTATATGTGGCACAGATGAATTTTTTTACATCACAGATACCTGATGGATTAAAAAGCTTGGGAATGGGGTTGTCCATGTCTTCATCTGCACTTGGTAGTTATGTTGCCAACATTATTTTGACAGTGGTCATGAAAATCACATCAAGTCATGGACGTCCTGGATGGGTTTCACCTAATCTAAATGATGGTCACTTAGATAGGTTTTTCTTCTTGTCTGCTTTTTTAACAGCCATTGACTTGATATTATTTATTGTATGTGCCAAAAGGTACAAGGGTATAGCATTGGAGAAAAGAGAAGAGACAAACAAAGAGGAAGTTGTAATTTGACTATACAGTTTGGTAGCAAAAAATTTGGTAGGCTATATAGGAAGAATAACAAAGGTGAGGGAGCTAGGCAAGAAAATAAGGGTAATATGTAGTTGTGCCATGAGTGCCATTGGATTTTAGCATATTTGTCTTTGTACTGCTTTATTCTTATATGGAAATAAATTATTAAAAGAGCATCCATATCAAATCTAAATATAGAGCCTAATAACTTGTAATCCAATTGCTACTAAGAAATCAAATATGTACGTTCAAGGATGAAAATATGGATGGAAGCTAATCGATTTATCTTATGATATAATGATATATTAGTTTTGCATATCATGACTTGCAACTAAAAAACATTTCTCATCATGTGTAATCAGTTACATAGATCAATCACCCCTTTAGGCTATAAAAAAAAAACAAATTCTTAATAAATCATATTGTAACATTTCTCCAAAATTTTGAAACTGAAAGAGCAAGCTCAACTACAACCCAACAGAAAACAAAACAGTTCTACAAAATATTAGAAATATTAACCACGTTTGAGATTGTATAAACTATTTATTGAAGTCTTCAAATAAAACCTAGTAAAAATTGAATGCCACTCTGAAATGCTATCCCTTCCAGGTGCATATAGTGAATGAAGAGTGCGTTGAAGTAAACATCATGGGGCATGAGACTTATTATTTTGAAATCTTTGCAGCCAGTTCTCTTACCAACTTAGCAGCTACCATGGCAGTCATTCCATCAACAGTATCACGTTGTGGGTTGAACTCAACCACGTCTCCAGCAACAACATCACCTTGAAGATTGTGCAAGATGTTGAGAACATCACGGAAAGAAAGACCTCCGGGTTCTATGTGAGACACTCCTGGAGCAAATGCAGGATCAAGACAATCCACATCTATTGAGATATACACACCTTTAACACCTTCCCCCAGTTTCTGCAAAAGGAAATCCCTAAGGTTTATAAACCAAAGAAGCATCAAATCTTATAACATTAATAATATTAAATTTCATCTGGTATTTGATTCGAAAGAACCCGTTTCCCCACCAAAAGAAATGCATAGAAACCATGGAACTTAGAAAGGATATGCAGAAATGCTGAGAAGTCAAATTTTCAACAATAATAACCTTTGTCACTATTATTAGCAAACAAAATTGCAAAACTTCGGCATGTTTGAAACTAATACTTTCTAAGGTATACTTGAAAAAATTGTAATATTTCCCAAAGGTCTCCAATGACCTCTCCTTTGAGGGTGAGCCTTAGAGCAGCAGCAAAGTTGCTCCTTGTGACCGAAAGATCACAGGTTGAAAACAGCTTTTTTGCAAAATTGCAAAGGTAAGACTACATACAATCAACCCTCACCTATACTCTTACAAGTTGGGGAACTTTGTGCACCGAGTTTGCCTTTCCCTGAGGTCTCCTAAAGGGTACAAGGTTAAGGGAAAAATATCATTTTAGAATAATGATTTTTCCAACAAGTATGCCCTTGCATCAAGCAGGTAGCCAACATGGATACAAAATCAATATGTACGGCTTCTGAGTATCCATGATTGATAATACACAGTGACGTGAAATAAGGTGTAGATCAGTGTGTGAGCATCAGTACTTAAAAAAGAGAAAGACACAGTAGCAAGTATGCTCGCACACACAAATACACAGAGGTGGAGAGAAAGAGAGAGAGAGAGAGAGAGACCAAGTTCTCTAAAAATTGGCGATCTCTTGAAAATGTTCGCATTTCATATTGCTCTACCCCGAATTTTTTGGCTTGTTCACGCCCTTCAGTTGTTATTGATCTTATACCAACCTGAAATAAATTACTAAATTAAAAGCATGAAGAATATACGATATATCATGCAAATCAAGGGTGAAGAATGAAATATTTACTACCATTACCGAGGGAAAAAAATCACATATCAAACCATAGGGAAGAACTTGCAACATATTAGCCATTGAAACAAATTAACAAAATTCGTCTGATGAAGTCAAAAGTCAAAGAAATAAAGCTAAAGAAACAACATGTCTACTTTTTTAACTTACCTGATAAATCCAGCTTCTAGAAACTACAGAATCATTTTGATTTTGATAGGTTGGTTGAATATAATTGAACTAAATTTCAACAAAACACAACTGCTTTACGATATAGATTGTGAACGGTTTTATGAGGAATTCAACTGATATAGTTCGACCTCCTTGCTGGTTAAATTACACATTATTCAAATAATAGATCATACAATCATGGAAGAAGAAATCATAACAATATGAAAGAGATACAAATAATTAGGTTAAACGTAATGGGCATTGAATTCCTTCATTTGTTAAATCAGATATGTAGAAGGATAAGCAACACCATGCACATGTCCTATTGATTGTCTTCTTTACACAGGAAATTGATGATTAGGTCCTGACTCTTGATCAAGTTGTATTTATCATCTAAACAAAATCCAATTATATTCAACCCAAAATTATCAGCCAGGCTGCTGCACAGCCAGTAAATGAATGATAAATGAGATGAAATTAATAGCATATTATTACAGAGAATAACCATAATTTATCTTTCAGAAATGCCTTATTAAATTAAACTGTTTAGGATATAAATGCTACAAACATATCAAGAATAAAAAATTGCCTGCAAGAGTCGCCGAACATAGTCACCCTCCATGATTCTAGCAAATGAAGAAGCATGTGAATAAATGTTTCCTTCAAAGGCATGATAGTTATCAGGATGTGCATCAAGATGAAGAACATCAACTGGTCCTCCAAGCTTCTCAGAGACAGCTCTAACAACTGGAAAAGATATTGAGTGATCACCACCTAAAACCAAGGGTCGTAATGGATCCTGGAAGAATGTAGACACCATGAGAATCAAGCTATATCTAGCTCAAACTGAAAGTTACCAGAAAAATATGATAATTCATGTGATATTTGATGCTAAAAAATCTTGTTATTTTCACAAACAAAAATTCCAAACTAAGTGAATTTTTCAGGAGAAATAATCCAATCATGAAATACGGGGACCATCAAACATTTGGTCTCGTCATGTCACACAATGATCTTTCCCCTCTCATGTTCAAACTATTACCAAGAAGCCACAATTCCTTGTCAAAATATACTTAATATTTATTAGTTTAAGTGATTAATCAGGATTGAGGACCAAAATTTTGTGGGTCTCACTTATAGACATTCGTTGAAGTTGTGGGGTGAGGTTCAGGTAAAGAAAACAGAAACCTTGCTGCCAATTGGACCAATATGCTTCAGGCAATGAGATCCGGGAGGAAAATGTTTCTCTCAATTATGGCTAGGTCCTGCCCTCTTCCTTCACCTTGAGGATAAGGTGAATTTCGGAGGGAGAGTATTGATGGGCCTGAAGTATGTGAATAAAGGTAATAACAGAATTGGGGGTGAAAGGAAGAGAGTTAGTTAGGGAGGATTCTTCCAGAATAATCTTGGAGGATGGGATAAAAGGAGGGGAGTTTGTGGAGTGAGGTATGCATGTATTAAGAGAAATTTGGGGTTGGGTCTAGAGCTGCTGCAAGCAGCTCTTTGGGTAATGAGCAGTTCTTGTATTTTGTGTTTGTAAGAGGCTCTGCCTACATTGATTGGAAGGAATAAACCGCTGAGCATTTTGGGTTTCATCACTCACACAAAAAAACTGATAACAAGGAAAAAAAAACCAAAAACAAAAAAGAGAAAAATAGAGGAATATGAAGCTTCAGAAAACATTACTTACATATCCCATCAAGCTACCTATGAATAAAACTCCAGGAAATAATACTGATACTAGAAAAGTAAAACACCACACCCAGTTTTTTCTTTGTTCTTAAAGCTATATCAAATTTAAACGTAATGCACTGAAAATAATGGGGAAAATTGGATTAAAAAAATAAAAAATAAAAATGGCGTATTCTGCATTTTGTTGAAAGTGCAATATTTTAGTTCCAAATAATGTGACAGTTTTCAAAGCAGAAGTTCACAAATTGAAAAGTTACCTCCTCCATGACTAACTTGACAGATTCACTAATGACTTTCATCAATCTGTCATCATCTACCCCACAATCTCGAATTTCTTGGATAGGAACATCACCAACATCAGTTAGCACTCGTACGTCCTGTAAATCCTTTCCTGCAAAATCAGAATCCTGCTACTATAAGCTCATGATTATCATACACAATTACAGGCCCAGTACAAGAGGCATGAAGGCACTTAGAAGTAAGATTGCAAGTGAGCAATATCCCATTAAATAATTTGCTCCAATGACCATGTTAGCTTCATAGACAATGAATAATTAAATACAGGTTAACAGGCGTCATTACAAAAGTCCAGGATATCCTCGCAGAGAATACAACAAGAAGAGGAGGGAAAACACATGTGCAAGGTAACTGAAATCCCAACAACACAAAAGTCCAATATTTTTAAGAACCTAAAGAAATAATATCCACAATTTCAACATTCAAATTAGATAATAGGTTTGTATTCTTGAATCTTTCTACAACCAAGATTTGATGCAAAGAATAAATTAACATTTGCGGATGAGGTTGCAAAGCAAAATTTAGACTAGGCTACACAAAAAAACCTTTTATAAGACTTCTACAATCCTAAGGAAAACCAAATGACTACCTTCTTCAGTTGTTGAGTTTGTGCTACCACACCAAATGGCCTCTCGAATGCGAGGAGGTGCAAATGCGGGACCTTGAAGGAATGATGAATTATGTCCCAAGGGAACTCCAAGAAGAGTTGAAGTTGCTCCTGAACCTCCCAAAGCACGCACAAGTTCTCCCTGGAGAACAGCAAAATTTCTTCATTTATATTTCTTTCTTGCAAAGCATATAATCAAAATCACCCAAATAAACTACAAAATTATGGGACAACGAAGACAACACCAAATAAACACAAATTCAGCCAAGCAAGATAACATCAAAGGAGACATGCCTTAAGCTTTGCTCTTTCTCGAATAAGTGTAAGTGAAGCATCTATCACACGATTTTGGCCTTTCTCTATCAAAGCAGTAGATACATTTGCTGCATTTAGTTTTGGCATGTAATGGATGCCTCTGCGTGCTATAAACGACATTTCTGTATCAAACGAACAAAACAATTAATATATATATTTAGGGGGCAAACAAATTCTGTCAATTTCAATAATATTACAGACCAATGAATTTTATGTTTGAAATGAACAGAGATTTACAAATCAATTTAGGCTTCAGAGTTTACCAGCATCAATGATACAGTACACAATATTTAGTACCCCAAAATTTTATAAATTAACCTCTCTTCCTAAAACCCAAAACCAAGAAAACACAAGCAAGTGGCTCAACCTCTGGAATCCACCAAGCAATTTCTTCAACCTCAAAATAAAACACTGAACCAAAATGCTAATCTAGCCATCTAATATCTAAAAAAACATAGAAACAGATTCTTCAGGTTCAATGATGCTTTCCTTCCTTTTTCTTTAACAATAATAAAATAAAAAAACAGAAAAATAGATATCAGAAACAATAATAATTCATCTTACCACTTCCTTTGCCTGTAGCAATGAAAAATGCTAAAACTTTCAGCTACTTTAAAATACACTTTGTTAACCACAACAATAATCTCGAGAAACAAAGTGATCTTTCAAAAAAAAAGTTCATTTTCAAACCCCAAAAAAATACAAAAGCAAAAAAACACAAAATTGTGGAACACCCAGAATAAAGGAGTGTTCAAAGTTTCAAACTTTACAACCCCAAATGACAGAACCCCTAGTAAACTTTATAAGCTTTCAAAGAAGAAGAAGCAGTTCAGATTTTAAAACAAAAGCGTACCTTGAAACTTGAAAGAGAACTGAGGAAAGTGAAGAAGTGGCGCTAATTTATAATAATTAGGTGTGAGAGAGTGTTAACTTCGCCACCTCCTTATTTATAACGTCCTTTTGGGACTCTTGTATAAATATTTCATTTTTAATTTAATAATTTAAAATGAAATACTAGGGAATTGTAATATTATAAAATAAGGGCAAGTTTGATTTCAGTTCATAAAAACAAGTTTTTGATTTTCAAAATAAAAAAATTTATTTAGTAATGTTTATTTTGTAAAAGTAATTTTACAAATTATAAATATTTTTTATTTTAAAAATCAAATTTAAACAACATGTTTGATTTTTTTTTTTTGTGTTTTGACTTTTAACTTTTAAAAGAAAAAATACAAAAAACACTTATTTTTGATTAATTATTATGTAATACAGTTTTGAGAATAAAAAAAATAGTACTCAATCAAACAGACCTAATTTTAAAATTTTATTTGAAAATAATAAGTATAGATTCATGTAAAAGTATATTTTATTAATTAATATGCTATTCTTTAATTTATTTAATTATTATGCTTAGGAGTGTTTTGACTTCTCATTAAATTTTTCAATTAATTTATGTTTGCAGAATATAAGTTAAAAATATGCATTTTTTTCATGTTTTAATTTTTATAAATAAAGATTAAAGGATTTTTAACTCGAATTTTGAAAATTTATTTAAAAAGAAATAAATATAATTCATGTAATAAGTATGTTTCATTGTTACTATGCTAATTCTTTATTTTATTAACTAATATGCTTATGAGTGTTTTAATTTCCCATTGATATTTTTTAGTAAAGACTAATCGGTGTTAATTCGCGTTTATAGAATATAAATAAAAAATTATTATTTTTTCAGCTTTTAATTTCTTACAAACAAAGATTATAGGTTTTAAATCAATCTTTTAAAGTATATTTAAAAATAAATTAATATAAATATTCATGTATTAAGAATATCTTATTAATTACGATGCTAATTCTTTAATTTTATTAATTAATATGCTTTTGAAAGTTTTGATTTCTCATTAATTTCTTTTATCAAAGTGTGTTTATAGAATATAACAAAATATTTATTTTGTATTACATTGTTAAACTTTTTTTTTTTTTTTTGGTAACCTACATTGTTAAACTTAAATATCAAATATAAATGTTTTTTATACTTTTTCATATATTCAATATTTTAATATTATTTGGTAATCTTAATTTTTAACATTAAATATTAACGTTAAAAAAATCATATCATATAAATGGAAGTAGCACCTCGTTAAAGTAATGATTGTATTTGTGAGTTTGTGACGATGAGGTTTGGAAAGTTGATGTGATTCGTTGCACGGACCAATATCCCGAATACTCATTAAACAACTCAGATCCCAAGGAATGTTCGTCCCATCGTGCAACTTGCAAAATACTTTATACAAATTTAGTTTATTCTAATATGATTTACTATACCAATTACATTAATAATTTTAGTAATTATTCAGAAATTAATTTTAACAACTAATAATGTAATTTGGGTATTATATATTAGGATTGTAATAAGTATAATATAATAATTTAATATGATGTATTATAACTTTACTATTATCATTATTACATTTAGGGTAGGCATAATTCACTTTTCCATAAGGAATTCAACCGATAATTAAGATGGTCCAGTTTAGAGAAACTAACTGTTCTAGAAAAAACGTTCCAGTCTAAAATCGGTTAAAAAAATATGCTTATTTATTATATGATTTGATTTGATTCATGATTTATATAACTTTTTCACACGTAAAAGGATGAATATAATTAGGCTTGATTTTATTTTCCATATATGCGGAATCGAACTAAACAAGTAAGGTGCTTTTTTTTTTCTTTTTTTTTTTGTAAATTAAGTAAGGTGCTTTAGAGAGAGAAACTGACTTAGAGAAGATAATCCCGTTTTTAAAGTGATTAAAAATATTTAATTTATAAAATATGATTATTTATCATGTAAGTATAATTTGACTTGGTTCAATTTTTTTATATCAAACCAGACGAAACTAGTAAAGCAGTCAGTGTACTTCATAAAACCAAATTTTAAAAAATAATTTAGTTCTTAAATTGATTAAAAAATAATTTGATTTTAAATCCAACCATAAAATATTAGTATTTATAGGTCATTTTAATTTGGTTTATGATTCAGTTCGATTTAAATAAAATTTTCGAGACTTGTAATTATATTATATAAATTTATATAGTAAAAAAAAATCATTACAATATAGTACTTCCTTTTTGCGACATAGATGAAAATACAAATAAAAAAAAGAATAGAGTCAGAAAAAATTTCACATTTGAAAAAAAGAAATACCTGAATATGGACTTATGTAAGGCCCATATACATAAAGGTTCAATAAAAGAAAATACAAAATAGAAATCATATTAATTAGGAAAGAATCATATTATTAATGACAATCTTATCATAATAGTTATACAATAGATACTAGGCTCTTGGATAGACCATTGATGGGATGTTTTTTTTTTATTGAAATGGTAGAAAAGTGGGATGGAATTTTTTTTTCATGTTTGGTATGGGAAAGGTTATACTTACAATCTATTTCCGTTACAATCTCTTACAATCAATATTTTAACCGTTGATTTCCGTCAATCAGCGGTTAAGATTTTCGCAAATAAAATTTATTAATTAATTATTAATTCGCAATAAATGATAACCGTTGATTGATGGAAATCAACGGTTAAGATATGATTGTAAGGGGTTATAAACAAAAATAGGTTGTAAGTATAACCTCCTCTGTTTGGTATAAGTAAAAGTAAAAAATCTCAGGATACTTTTTCACATCATTCCCGTTTTTAACTACACATGGAAAAAAATAATCTCATCCCACCCATGATATTATTTTTTTTCCACCAACTCGGAAATACATTTTCACAATTTGAGACAAAAATGCTCTTATACAATATATCAGCAGATGTGTAAAAATGAGTAATTTTGTTATTTTGGTTCAGATTTCTATCAATATTTTATAACGAACCAAACATAACATCAATAAAATTAAGCCAACTTTTCAAAAAAAAATTGGCTTACCAAACACTTTTCGTAACTTACTGTGGGAAAAAAAATTCTCACCATATCTAAGTTTTCAAAATTTTCTCTACCAAACACTCTCTAAAAGTTCAAAATTTTATCATCCATAGATAAATGGCTTTAATGTTTCTAGAGTGAATGTAAATAAGTTATCTACATTCGCTCCCAAAATGACGTCGTTTGGGTTGAAAAATTTAAAAATTATAATGAAAATGACTATTATAACCCTGAAATAAATTATAATTACAAAAATATCTTGATTTCCGCCTCAAAACGACGTCGTTTTGGGCTCAATGTAAATAAGTTATCTATATTAACTGTAAAAAAGCGAACCGTAGATAAATTCTATAAATAAGAGATAAAGCTACATATATGAACTAATGTCTCTCGTATACTATTATCCTATCACTTGCATATACAATCCCTTTGGCAAATGTTGTTTGGGTTTTATTAATCTCATGTTAAAGGAGATAAGTTATCTCATGTTATAGATACAAACTTGTGAGTTCCACCGTCTGGAAAAAAAGAATTAACACAGTTATCGAAGGATGTGTAGGAGAAAAAATTTATCTCATATAACATGAGAATAATTTTTCTCATATTGTTTATAACTATGTGCCTTGATTTGATATATGAAGAGTATTTTCACTGGTAGATATCTCAGAGAAAGTACCATATCCTATATTACTAATCTTCTGGACACTTCTCAATCAGATAGAACAATATCCATTGGATACTTCCGCTGCAAGTTTTGTTCCGAAGGAGGACATGACATGGATTTCGCCATCAATGAGGTTGGTGTCACCGCGTTGTACCTCTACAACTCTGTTATGTATTGTTTGGTTTTTAGAGAAATTTTAGTTCCCTTTAGACATGTTCACCATTGACATCTTTGGAAACGGTGAAGGATCCACTAGCCTGTGATTCCTTCCCCTATATGTATCTTTTTTTTGGTTCATCTTCGATCGATGTGCTTTGTTATCACAATGAACTATTCACCAATGAGGCAAGTGGAGCAAAAACCAACAACAAATTGGCGCAAACATTTTAACATTAACCCCTGCCTACAAGGCACCCTTAAATTCCTTTGTCCTGTGGCTCGTAATGGTACCTTATTGTTAACCAATTCTAAAAACGGATACGCTATTTTATATATACTATCATATTAAAATTTTATAATACCGTATGGTATTGAGCCTTATGTTATGGTACATACCAAATATAGTCTTAAAGGTATTATTTGCTTTATCTTATGTTATAAAAATAATCATTGTGGGATCTATCATTTTAAAATAAAATAAAAAATAAGACACAAATATCGATAAATCAGCTACAAAATAAAAATTTGTGCAGCAATTGAAATGGTTATTTAAGACAAATAAAACCCATTATCTTATATTATCATTCTGTTTTTTGTGATGTGATGGGGTGCAATTTGCATTTTTGCGTCCTAAATTGTGCTGGCAACTTGCCATCTGCAACAATACGATAACCCACACCCCTATACTAAGGTCTATGATATTATATTTCCTAAAATATATTTTTAAATTTTTATAATTATTAATATTTTTTAAGAGAATAGTTATATTTAGAAATTCAAAGTTTACAAATTTTTATAAATTATACTATGTACTATAGATAATACATATTATTTAAGTATGTATTACCCATAATATTATTAATATATAATATAGTTTGTAAGAATTTGTAAATTTTAAATTTCTAAATATAACTTTTTTCTATTTTTAATAAAACTATTTAATGATATCTTTTAGGGCTCGTTTGGTGGATAAGATAAGATAGGAGTAGAATATGGGGTTGATAAGAGTAGGATATGATATGGGGCTGATAAGCCTATATCATGTCCTGTGTTTGATGAGCACCTAATTAACAATCTGATAAGATTATGTAAAAAGAGAAAGGAAAAAGAAAAAACAAAATATAATGCAATAAATACAAATA